AATTGCTTGATAGTAAACTAGACAATATTTTCTTCAAATACAAGTAGAGTTTGTATTTGTCAAAACCATTTAAAGGGGACTTTTGAGCCACCAAACTACGCTAAATTGTGTTACTCATTAAATATACTATAGAAACTACGCTTTACACTTTTATAAACATATCCTTGTTTAGTAACCATTTATTGCACATCAATTCACTCCAGGTTTTTTTTTTAGAATAGAGTTGAGATTAACTATGTTTGTATAGAATTCTGTCACTCCAGAGTATCTGTATTTTCAGCAAATATAACAGAGACATTATTGTAAAGGTTAATTAATTTTTCTGTTGTGAACTGACATTTATTTCAGTAAATTAATTATGAAAATACACCTTTTATTTATTAAAAAAATATACATATACAGGGTGTCCCGTAAGTAGAGAGAAATTTTTACAGAAGTGATAGCAGAATCCCACAGTTCTATATCATAAGTCCAAATTGGTTTAAGTAAAACTTTATAGAGAGTTAGTTTGTTAGTCAAAGATAATTTTGAACGAACTGTCAAGTAATCTTGATAAAATACCGTATAAATTATTTAATTCCATAAGTTTTTGTCTAATGTGTTAGTCTTTTGTCCAGATAAAAACCCAAATATTTAATAACATCGGATGCAGGGATTTCTATGTTATTAAAATATATTTCCGAGGAAGAGGTATGAATAACAGTAATAAACACTTTTTTTTTTCATTCATTTTAATTTTCCACCTTATGAACTAATCAGCAATATCGTTCAAGTGGTTTTGAAGAGTGGTGGGGATGCTCGAACAGGATTTTTATCTGAGCTGAGGATAGTGGTATCGTCGGCAAAAGTATATATATATATATATATATATATATATGTGTGTGTGTCTGACCTACCACAACATAGTGACACTCTACTGGCTACTTTTGCCGACGATACCGCTATAATATATATATATATATATATATATATATATATATATATATATATATATATATATATATATATATATATATATATATATATATATATATATATATATTAATAATATATATACTATATATTACATATATAATCCTTATCCTTATATTACATATACAATCCTTTATGCCGAACTTTATCGAAAGTTAAATTAACTTATATCAAGAAAAAATCCAGCACAATAATTTTTAGATTCTAAAGAATTAGAAAAATAATCTACTAATCGATGGCTGGAATAATAATAATCTAGCTTCGATGAAAAATAATCTACATTGTTGAACAGTAGAACGATGCTTTCTGAAACCGAATTGATGATTTGGAATAAATTTAAATATATGAAGAGAATCGAGACGACGAAGAACAATTTTTTCAAATAATTTAGAAAAGCAAGGAAGAAGGTTGATTGGACGATAGGAATTTGGAAAGTTTGAGGATTTGTTAGCTTTTAATACCATGACAACTTCAAAATATTTCCAAAGGGTTGGGAAACGGATGATTCTCAGTATAGAATTGTATATATTTGTTAGATTGGTATCCAATAAAAAGGATTGCTTTCCAAGGTAAATTTTTAATGATGAAATTCGTAATTCAGTCAAATTTTTGAACGATGAGACATCTTATTTCCGATGAAATGTAATTATGGTCAGCGTTATCTGTCTTTTTCTTACAGATGTTAGAAGTCCATGCTGAATATTGTATAGTTTGTGTTAAGTGATGAAGTTAAGGCGTTCTTATGTTAGTGTTGAGTGAAAGTGAATTTTCAATGGATGATCTAAACTTGTTTCAGTCAATTTTTCCAGGCGTCAGCGATGGTCGGGAAGTTATGTTTATAGGTTTTGAGTCAAATCGTCAAAAGAAGAGGGGTATAATCTGAAGGCAAGTCAGTCAAATTAGTAATGGCACAATGCTGTCCGTTTATATCCTTGGCAATGAAAAAATCAAAACGTCAGGGATCCTGTAAGCGTCCGTGGGCCAATATGTCGGTGAAGAGAGCGACAAGCATTTACAATTCTGAGCAAGAATCGTATTTTGAAGGGCAATAGACTGGTCAATAGTTTATACTTAAATTGTTATGGATTGTAGCCCCAGCTAGAAAACAAGTGCTAGGTTCAAGTCCTAAGCCCGTCTGACTCCGTCCGTTACTGAGCTCAGTGCTACCAACCTGTTACACTGTCCACTGCAGTCCATCTTTGAAGGAGACATACTTCTCTATCTTGCAGCCACGCTCGCCGCTGCCCACCTGCAGTTCGATTAGAGCACTTAATCAATCTACATCAAATCAATGTATAAAGATTAGAGTGCCAGCGACCTAACCACTGTTACAAACGTCCTGCTTGCGTCCACGTAACGTTGCACCAATTTACAATTTTTTTTTTTTGGTTTCTGTATAAATTTTAACGTTGGGCCAGTCGTATCAATTCTGTTTGTTTTAGTAGGTTATCATCATTTTTTTATTATTAAATATTTCTTAAATATGAAGCATATTATTATTTTCATTTATATAGAAGTTATTATTTTATTTTATTTATTGGAACAAGTGTAAAATCAGTTTCGTCTTTTTTATTTTTTAAATATTAATATGTGTAAATGTTTTAAAATAAATGTTCAGGCTATACAGGTTACTTTCGAAACATCAAAACCCTTCGCTGTTCTGCCAACTGAGGTGGATGCTCAATGTCATAATACTACTCAAACCAGTGAAGATGTGACGTTGAAACTCGCACCGATCTACGTGAAATCAGTTAGTAACTACAATTATACGAAGAGCTAGTCAAATAAGTAGGTTCAAACGGGCTTACTTTGAAATCTGGTGCTAATAACGTTGTTATAATGACGAATTCATCAGATTTCTACAGGCGAATATCCAAGTACCAAATAATAGAAATGCTGAGTTTCACACCTATCAACTTTCTGAGGACCGCCCTTTTCGCGTCGTTATATGGAACCTGTATCACGTAAGGTACTATAGATTGTGATTTAATCAAAACAAAACTAGAAGAATTGAGTTACTATTTACAACATTTTAGAACAAAAGCGCCTTTGCCGATATTCTGATTTAGTCAAAAAATGAGAGAAGTTCCCAAATTATCTCATTAGAATTTCTCCATCATACAAAAATCATAGCTGAACAACCGATAAGACGTAATGAAATCGTCCAATGCAAGCGGTGTCAATTCTAAGGACACACCAAATCATACTGCAATTTGAAGTCGCGATGTGTGAAGTGTGCCGGGACACATCTGTCATCGAGTTGCAAGAAACCACTAGACTCACAGCTTAAATGTGTTTTTGTGAAGCTCACTCAGCAAACTATAGAGTCTGCTCTGTACACAAGGAATTAAAGAAACTTAGACAGCACCCAGCAATGAGAAGTCTTGCATTTTATGAGGAACAGCTGACGAGCTACTAAGTAAGAAAAAGAAGACTCCTCGAAAATCGTCCAGAATTCAGCAGGTAATATTGAGCCACCGTTACAACTACTATACAATTATGTACAAACACAGAACATTGCAACAGAATCAACTTACTCACATAAATTGACGAGACCAAATGACACACTGATACCTAACTTCAACCAAATAACATCTCAAACGTCCCAGACATTACAACACAACTGACAAACTTTATAAACGAATTCAAAAACCTAGTTTCATCCCTGATATCATTACTAACATCGCTGGTACAACATGTTCTTCCAAAGCTTACCATATGAAAGAACTAAAAGTGATTCTTTGGAATACCAATGGAGTATTATCTCGTAAAAATGAACTCAAAATTTTTCTTACTCATAACCAAGTTCCCTCTACTTACGGGATACCCTGTATACAACAAATGAAATATTTTGTTGAAAATTTTATCCACCTCCCAGAGTTTGGCCATTAAGAACCTAGACGCCCTGTATATGTAATTCTTTCATGGTCAAGCTTAACTTTGAAGCTAACCGTTCCAGCTGCACATATTTTATGTTAGATTTCGGCTAGCCAGCGCCATACATTGAGCGTAATTAACCACATTTTAAGAATTTTTTTATTTAAATATTCTTCGAGATACGCATATGTTTCTTTTCAAAACTTACTATTTAATTTTCATTGGAATAAAAATAGATAATTAATAACAATATGGCATAAAAGGAATATACATCTAATATAAATCCCTTCTCCCCCCCAAAAAAAAAAATCCAAATTAATATATATTTAAATATTAATTTGAAATTACTATTATATATTATAGTATAGACTATGATAATACAAGTATATTGCTAATTAATAAAAAGAAATAAAAAACAGACAATAAACAAATCGGGAGAATTAGCATCACTTCCGAGGGCACGTTCACTGGCGCAAAGTATCTCCAATTGAAGATGGAAAAGAACAGTTGATCAGAAATAAAATTGGAGATCATAATCATCTTTATATGTCCAGGAAAAGCAATCTAGTAATAAAAGTTTGAGGTGTTTCATATAACGAAGAATAACACGAGGAGAAATAGAAATACAAGACACTTATGTTTATTCCTCAGCCGAACTATAGCAATCAGAGGATATTCTTCTACTATTTCCCTATCAGGATTTTCGTGCCTTATACTACCACTTTTGGGCCATGCACAATAATACAAAATATTGACGTTATTGGAGCAACACTATTCGTTTAGGAAATAAGTAACCCACTTCGTGGCCCCATAAAACAAATTAGGCGTTGGCAGTTCTTCATAAAAGTCATATTCTGAAGTATCGAGACAACAAGACAATTTAATGGGGTCGAGATACGAAATTTGATATAGAACACTAGAAATGAAAATATAACGAAACTAATCGTTTATGAATAAATCTAAAATAAAAATTATTATGATTACGCCTGATATCAAGAAAACGCAAGATTTTTTTCTCTTCAGAGAAATTCAACTTCACACTTCACAGTACTAATGAACACCCAAGGTTTCATTATTAAAATTAAGAAAAACGACATAAGAAGCAATTATCCCTCTGTCAATCATTCAGGATTCCTTCAGGAAAAGAACTGATGGTACCAGAGCCGAGTCCGAGAGGAGAGGGCGGGAAGAGGGAGTGGGGAGGGGAGGCGGTGGCAGAAGAAGGAGCAGAACATATAATATAAACAGCATGCAACCAGTCAAAAATCTAAACCAAGTCTAGGATGCAGGTGAGTTACCGTCGTATCTCTCAATAAACAATTAGCTTGCAACTTAGAAGTAGCGTATTATAAAACGATGGTAATGAAACATAAAGTTAAATATTTTTCGAAAAAATGTCTAGTAGATTGGCAGAAAATCAGTTAAAGGCCTGTAATAAAAGTTTAACATATTGTTTTTTAAAGTTTCATTGACTAACTTCCTGACAATCTCTAACTCTGATATACTATTATTCAGTAAATTATCTCTTCTTTTTTTAAATTTTACATAGAAACTCGTTAAAATATAGCTATATTTTATTCAAAAATTGGATATAAAACCTCCTTAAATGCAAAAAAATGTTATATTTGTTACATATTAATAATTTGTTGACGTTTCGAGAAGGAAAGAAACCTATATTTTATATTTTAATGCAGGTATCGAAGTGGCTATGTTTTGCAGCTTTATGGATTTCTGTTGTGGCACAGGATATTTATGATGATAATCCGAACCCGGTAATAACTAGAATAATTACTTACTATAAATAGTACTAAAATTTATTCTTACTATATATATGATTTATATATAAATAGGCTTTTTCACTATAGTGTTTGATGAGAATTGTTCAGGGTGAATAAAGTAATATTAGAACGTGAATAGTTTACCCACCCTGATCGACTCTCGAAAAATACTCTGGATTTTATACTAGATATATATTTTTAATATGGTATTTTCAGAACTACAGAGGTACATTGAAATAACTGTTGTTTTCAGGATACTCAAAATTATCAGTTTAGATATTATGTTAGAGACGAAAGCACAGGAGATATCAAAAGTCAAGAAGAAACAAAACAGGGAGGAACAGTTAATGGTCACTATTCCGTAGGTGAACCAACTGGAGATCTCAGGGTTGTGACTTACACAGCTGACGAAGGTGGTTTCAGGGCAGACGTTAAGGTAAAAACAAAATTACAAAACCTAATATAAAATATCCACTAGGGATTCCTTCAGAGAAATATTTTTAACATACATTGCGCAAGTTTATAGCAAAAATTCATTAAGTAACATTTCATAATATTAAATCACTTAGTAATTTGATGAATTTTCTCTCAGTGAAATGAGAAAATTTTGTACTTACAATAACTGATATGTGAAAGGATTTGTGCCATTTTGATGCACTTAATGTATTATTTCATAGATGAACAGGGTGGAAATTCACGAAAATATACTTAGAAGTTTAGTTCCATCAAAAATGTGCTTGGTGACATTTTAAAATAAACCGAAAATAGATAATGTCAATATATTAAAATGAAAATATATCGGGATAGGGTGCAGAACATAATAAGAATATTTTTTTGAGTGAAAATTTCTTTAGCCGCCCTTAGCACATTTTTGTGGGTATTGAACGAGACTAAGCTATCTCACGCTCATTCGGTTAAAGTCAAATCTATTTGATTACATTTTGCATTTGGATAAAAATATCTCCAGAAACTAAAAAGCAGACATGCAAGCTGTAGGAGAGGGAATTGTTCAGCGTTTCATCCTCTTTGTGATGAGCTATTATTCAAAATGTTTCTTGACGCGACGCAGTGTTAGAGAGACAAAAAAGGGAAAAAGATAGTATCAAAAACTAAAAGAAACGAAATTTTGTTTTTATATTTGGGTTAAAATATCTCAAAAAGATAAAACTCGGGTGCATACTGTAAGCGATGAACATTTTCAGCATTTCATCCTCTTTGTAATGAGCTATAATTGGAAACCGTATTTTGACGTGACACTGAGTCAGAGAATTAGAAATTGAAAAAGATTACATCAAAAAATGTTATTACAATGTGAATATGGAACAAATAATAGTTTATACACAATCATAATTGTACATATTGCAAATTTTATTACTTCGGTAATATATAACACAAAATTAATGTATATTTCATATTCTATTAATCCCACCTGTTGATGTTTTTACTTCTATCGTGAAGTCTTAAGCACACACCGCAATATTTCAGTTTTGTTTTTTAATAATATTAATTTTATAGGATTACGATAGCTGCAAGAGAAAGAGAAATATTCCAAATCAATAACGGGGTTTCTAAACAGATACTCTTCAATAACTAATTTATTATTAACGTAATAAATAATTAATAATTTTATTCTGGCCCAATGAAAGAATGAAGAACGCCCATGAAGCGTAATAATCCTTGCACAATTATTGTTAAGATTATTGTTTGCACTGAAACTAGAATCAATTTTTACTGTCTTTATTTACTTTTTATTGTTTAGGAAAGTATAATACTAAATGTAAAATAAAAAAGAAATCAATTTTAATGATATTATAGACTGGCTTTACATAATATGATTTTGAGTTAGTCATTCATTCCAAAGAACACCCTCACTAACTAGGCTGGAATATACACTTATAACATTCCAGCAGCAGTAACAACATTAGAAAAAATTCCTGTCAACTAAAATGTTAAAATTGATTACTGGGAGTCCTACCGCACAACAAACTAAAAAAACTACGTCTTTTAATGTTCCTTTTCATCCTGGTTGAAGACGATGTGTTTGAAGATCATTGTAAATACTTTAAGCCTCGGGAGCTTCCAATCCTTATTTCTCTTTTAATTACCAACCAATTTCTTTCATTCATTACATTTAACCATTTTTAATAAAGCAAATGGGTATTTACGACTTTTTAGCATCTAATTAAATAGACAAAGTTTGCTGACTTCCAAATTGAAAACGCTCCGATTCCAAGAATTTTCGTAAATAAAATATTTGTAGGTTAAGATGAGATGAAACTATTTGCTAAGTTTCAGGTGGATGTCAATGATTTCATAAAAAGGTCTGTACCACAGACTACATTGAGTACAAATCTAGTAGGCATGGGATTATATTTACCACCAATGAATAATCCCAATTATTACAATCTCACATCCATTTCTAACATGATTAATCAAATCATAAAGGAAATGGCTCAAAAAAAAGAATTTCTCATGAGTGCTTTAAAAGAAAGGAAAATTATGGAAGCACAAAGCAAAGTTTAAATTTCATAATAAGGGTTAAACAAGAAAATACTTCCCACATTCTACAAAACTTGGCTAACAAACTCAAAGTCCATTTTAATAAAACAATTCAATGATAAATAAAATGAATTTTTCATAAATAACGTAAAGATATCTTCAAAAATAATTTTAAACTTCACAAGTTAATTTATCCTAAATTTAGACTTTTAACATATATTTCAGTGATATACGCTCATTGTTTTACCAGTGTAATGCGTTGAATTATTCAAAAGTTTAGGACCGGTTACATAACACTGTAACTAATATTCTACACACTTGAACAAGTAAAACACAATGAACAAAAATAACATTGTTATTCTAATAATAGATGATGGGTATAGTGTAAAAAGTGGCTCTCTGAGGTAATTTTTGTTTCTTTAAATTTTTAAGGTTAACTGCAAGGATGTTTAATAACAAAATAAAACTTCTGCAACTAAGTTTTATAAAAAATTAAATAACTTCACACAATTGTAAAATGACAATAAATATAAAAAAATAGAGGAACAAAAAGTAAAAAACTAAAACTAAAAAAACAAAAAACATTTTCAACGCTAATACTGGTTAATTATTTATGGATATATTATATTTAAGGCCTTTTTTTTTGTAATCATTCAATTGATTGGCTTAGTATTTTTTATGCATTTTTTAAAATGTTGAGAAAAAGCCCATTTTCTGCAATATAGAGTCAATTTAAACCAATTCTAATGAATTTTTTTTTTCATGATTTAACTTGAACAATCTTAAATAAAATCATTAGAAAAAGTTTGAGAAAAATATTTTCCTAAATTAAATTTAAACCTTCAATACACATCTATACTTTGATCAAATTCAATTGTTTTTGTACAATGGGATTTAATGACACATTTGCTGGATTTTAAGGCAATAAAACTATCGAATATATTTTTATAACTCAAACTGATCTAGTAGTATCCAATTTTTTTCATTCGATATATTTCAACATCCTTTTGAAATACATTTGTTCATAAATAACATCAAATAATTAACAATTATTTAATACTTTGTCTGACTTCCAGCCCTTTTCTTTTTTGAATAAAAATTTTATTTCACATTCTATAACTATGTGCAGTTACAATATATTGCAATTGTAATTAAAAAAGATTAAAACACAAAAACGAAATAGTGATTGTCAAGTATTTTGTGAAGATCATCACTAATAGTACTGATAACTCATCTCATTCATGAATATGATTGCACCATTATTACTTATTGCATCATTATTATTTACTGAATCATTATTACTTATTGCACCATTATTATTCATTTACTTTATAAAGGAGTTCACTTTGATAAACAAGTTCTGTTACAAAAGTTGAACTTTGTTTACATACTTTGGTATTATTTAGATAATCCTTACCTCTATCTGGTTATTTTCTTTATATTTCAGGATAATAATCCCAGTTAGTTTGTATTTTCCTTTCACTCAGTTAACATGGAGTGGAGTGATAAAGAAAACCGAATAGCTGTGATACTCTTACACAAGTTGAAAAATGTAGACCAGAGATTTTCAACACTTTGAAATCTTTGGGCATCAGCCATATGTTCGTGTACCGCACTATAAATAGATATAATGAGACCCTATCTGTATGTGACAGACTTCGACCGGGCCGTCCCCGCACTGTGAGAACGGCAAATGCAATGAGAGCAGTGGCTGCTCAAATCAGAAGAAATCCCATTCGAAAACAACAAATTTATGTGTCGGGAAATGGGAATTTCTGCCAGATCAATGTCTTGCATAATAAAAAGTGAACTTAGGATGAGTGCATTTTGAAGAATGATGATAACCTTGACAGGACAAAAACTAACCACTTCCCTAAAAAAAATTAGAGTGGATAGATGCAAAGTGGTCTTGGCCGTTACACCAATGGTCTTCATCGAAAGATTTTGTATAGTGATGAAAAAAATGTTATAATTGAAAAAATGTAATCGTCAAAATGATTGTGTATACACACAAAGTTCTAAAGAAGCTCAGAAAGTCATTTGAAGAGTAGAAAGAGGTCATCACCCTTCCTCAGTGATGGTTTGATGGAGAATTTTGATTTGATGGCACCACAAAGCTCCATTACTGTGAAAAAGGAGTTATAACAGCCACTAAAAACTATCAGAACGATATTTTGGAATCTGTTGTCAAGCCTCTAAATGATACTCTGTTTGCTGGGAGTCGTTTTCAGCAGGATTCCGCCCCCGCTCACAAGGGGAAGTCAAATCAGCAGTGGCTGCAAAAGAATATTCCAGAGTTCATCTCTGCCTTGGATTGGCCCTCAGGAAGCTCTGATCTTAACCCACTAGGTTATGGGCTTTGGTCCGAAGTGGAGAGGATGGCATGACAGAGCACATCCTAAGTTGGAAAGCCTTAAACAATCTCTGGTCCGAGCAGTTGAGCGCTTTCCTCAAGAAGTGCTGTGTTTTTCTATTGATACCTCGCCATGGAGATTAAATACCTTTGTCAAGGCAAAAGGAGGAAATTTTGCTTAATTTATTTTTTGTTTTACTCTCTATAGTTATACATTTTATTTTCTAATTAAGTTTTTGAAAAAAATAATTTTTGTGTTTAAATCTGTGAATATTTCCTTGTAACAATATTTATGACAGAACTAGGTATGTATCTGTAGGGATGTCATTTTTTTGCGACTGTATCCTCACTTATCCAAAATTTAAAAATGTTACTTATTGTTAAAATATTCCACTCATGGCTCACTAAGCCAATCTAGTAATAAAAAAAAAAATCATGAACTGTTGAGTCAATAATTCTTTATATTCTACTCTAGTGGCGCACTACTAAAGTCATCTCTATTGAACGGCTATAAAAATCATACTAAGAGTAGACAATAAAAACAGGTTTAAAAGTAAAGGATTTTTTTTTTTTTTAAATCAAAAGTTCTAAAATTCCCTTTTGTTATTAATAGTAATACTAACCTTTCAGGATATTGCTAATGTTTAAAACCTATTATGATAAGGTTGTTTGTTCAATGTATAAGGGTTCCACATAAAATTATTTTATTTACAACTGTCAACATTGATTGAGAACTTTTACTACTCAGAATTAATCATTTCTATAGCTTTAGATTAGGGGAGTAATTAATTATATTTGAGTATTGAATTTCCTTTTCAATTACAATAATTGTGTGAAGTATTTGCTATGATTTCTTTTAATTACTGTAATTGTAATTCATTAAATATTATGTTTAAGCTAAATAATAATAATTACATAAATTCAAGTAACTCAACTTTAATTCCTAACCTATGTTTTTTAAATGATATTTTGGTGTTATACTATTGCAATTCCCAATTAAAATTCCTTAAATTTAGAAAAAAAAACATTACAATTGCATAAAATTGTTGCAGGTAATTGCAATTACTTTGGCTCAACTAGTAGTTGTAACTGTGGATCCAATTACAAAAATTAGTTAAACAAAATAATAATATGGCTTAGTGAAACCGAAGGTTTGATGCCGACAACACCAATCAGTATACACATTCTTCCATCCACCTGGCTCTATTTAAACCCAACCCGGCCAAATCAGCCTTAACGGACTCTTCTCACCTTCGATTTGGTCTTCCCCTTGGACGCTTGCCAGTTGATACATAGCATATCAACTTTTTGGGAATTCTTTTGTTACTAAGCCCATCAATTTTCCATGCCTGTTATATTTGCCTCAACTTAATCATCTCAATTATATTAACCGGATATAGTTCATGCAATTTAGCGTTGTCTAACCTCCTAAATTCTGCAGTTGACTCGTCCTTTTTCGGTCCGAATATTCTGCATAATACTTTATTCTCAAAAACGTTAAGGCTTTGCTCATCCCTTAATGTAAGCGGCCACGTTTCGAATCAATAAAGAACCGCAGGAAGGATAATGAGCTTGCACTTGGGATGCAACTTTATTTTTTATTACCTCCTATCTCACCCTTTAAAGCATAAAAGGGAGAGCAGAAGGGAGGTGAGGATTTTATAGAGGTACAACCAAACCTATTCTAACCATAGTGGGAAAGTCGAGATTCATTTCAATGTTCCCTCATAACATAAATAATATAACTAGTGCAACTTATTGTGGTTCAATTATAGTGTCTATATTATTGATATGTGATTAGATATTATTCCTATTTCTTAATTATACTTCTACTCCCCCTTCCCAAACATCAAACGCTACACCGATAATAATAGTATCAACTATAAACAATTATTTTGTTGCAGTATGAAGAAGGAGGATCACCTGCTTCAGAAGATAAAGCAAGACAAACAAATTCTAAATCTGGTGTTGAATTTCATTGGTTACCAGCAAATCCGGATGATCTTCAAGAAGGCAAAATAGGAACAGAAGATACAAGTGATGTTTCAGAAGGAAACCAAAGTGGTATAGAAAGTACAACAAATATGAGTGAACAACCATCTGAATCTAATTCTGAAGCAACAACTGAACATACTTCCTCTACAGAAACAAACAGTGAATCATCCACGACTGAAGGTTCAGAAATGGATATTGAAATAGAAAAAGTATCTAAAGAAAGTGATTCATCATCTGAAACATTTTCCACAGAAAGCAGTTCAGAGACTTCCAATGCCATCTCAGAAACCCCCCTGTCAAGTTCAGAAAGCACCATAGCCTCAACTGAATCCACAGAAAATAGCATGGAAACCAGTACAATGTCTGCTATTGAAGGAAAAGATACATTACAAACAGATGAAGAAAGTAAAACATCAACTGAAGATGAACAAAGTGCAGAGGCTGCAGAGTCAGCTCCATTGTCAGAAGAGGTTTTGCCACCTTTACAACCAAGTCAAATGTATCTTCCAGTGATTTCTTACCAAAACTTACCATTTTTAAATCTTCCAATGTTAGATAATACTCAAGGTTACAGTGAAAAACCACCTACAATAATTTATGCATCTCAAAACTTCTATAATCCCTGGCAATGGTTTGGAAACAGTCGAAGAATTGCAAGAGATGTACAGCAACACGTAGATCAACACATACATACATCCACAAAGGGATTTCAATATCCAGTTATCCCCAGACAGTATAAATAAACAATTTTTTTATTTATGAACATTTGACTAACTTATTATTATAACCATAATATATATTTTTTTCAATTTAAAAGATATTAAACATCACTGGATCTCAAACAATCAATGATATTATATACATTTTCAACTAATAAAATTAAATACTGTAAATAAGGACACAAACATAAGGGAGATTAGATCAAATATTTAAAAAAATATATTAGAAAATAATAAATTGAAAATATGGTACAAACATTTCACACTTGAAATAGAACCAAACCACAACACGTTTACCTGCATTTACAATTTACTTTAATATTAAGAGATATTAAAATCTAATAAGTGATTAATGTTTATGCTCTATAAAATTGGGGAAAAAAAGAGAAAAAACGGAAACATATTTCTTACTAAATTAAAAAATGAATTTATAGCTGGACCTGATAGAATTTAATGTTCTATGAATAAATGTTCATAATTTGCCTTAGGCATACAGACAAAATTAAACAGAAAATCTAGTTCACAAAATAAGAAATACACAATTTATTTCATGTTATGAATAATTTTAGTTTTTGCATATATAGACTTTTGCTGTGTCGCTATCTATCATTAAGAAGATTATACCTATAACCGCACCAATTTTGATTTTTTAATCAAAATAATTTTAAAATTTGAAACATTTATTCAAATGATACAGTCAACATTATTTTTTAATACTATTAATTAAAAGTGATAATGAATAATATTAAAATTATTTTTCCTGCAGAATCGTATTAAATCAACAATACTATAAAAGAGAATCACTTACCAAACCCATTCTATGCACTATATCTTCACTAACAGGACACCAAAGTTTAATTTTCTTATAGAGGGGATGCCTTTCATAATAACTGATTAATTCCACCAAACTTTCAAACTGGCAAGACCCAATTGTATATAAACGACCCTCCATTTTTATACGACAATGTTTTATCTTTTTTTCAGCCCTAAGAAGAAAAAACAGAAATATGATATTAGTATGATCCAGGTCTACAAAAACAATTACTAAATAAAACATATTTTTGAACACTAAAACATTGTTTGCTCATTGAATGCTATTTAACATTCGATAATCCATCATACAAATAATTAATCACAAAATCGTACCTAAATGAAATGGCATATGCATTGTTATCTTTATCACTAGGGCGAACTAAAAATGCACCATCATGAGGAACTCTTCTCAATAACTCTTCTGCATAAGACCGTGAAGCATTAGGTAAATACCATTCTTTACCCTCATGTGTTGTAGGCTGAGGTACAGGTTCAGTTAGTTTGATTTGAAATTCCTAAATGCAATACAAATGCTAAGTCTTGGTAAATATATATAAACTATTTTGATTAATTTGTGGAAATAGAATACATTTAAAACACAACAGTAGTAATATAAATCTAATAATAGTCAAGTCTTGAAAGTAAACGTAAATGTAATACTGATACTTGGTAACATTAAAATTAAAAAATGGAAGTTCAATACAGGAAAACAAGTATAATAAAGTATATCTGAATGTGAAACCCAAAAATGTTAGGAATTTTTCAGGAATATTAGCAAATTACAAATATCATTTACCCATAGGAAAGTTGTAATAATATTGCATAATTACACAACCATGGGAAAACACTACCTCATTCTCAGTTTTATGAATGACTCTAAACTACAATAGACTAATCAGAAAGTTAATTTGGAGTATAACAAGTACAGGTTACAAAACACAGACTGAAGACAACATGAATATTCTTCTCATTTAACATACCTGACTTCTCAGCGGGTGTGACCTGTAGTGCGTAATAAGTGTATAGAGGCTATCAAAGCATGTACTATCAATCAACATGAACTTTATTTGACCCCTATCCTGTTTGGACCTAATTCGGCAATGATTCACTTTTCCTTGTCTCCTGGTGAGAAAAAATATAATTATACAGAAAGATTAAGACTAGATAGTTAAAATCCTTTATTCAATGTAAATAGATATTATATACTACATACATAAAAAATAAATACTTATGATATGAATATTTTTCTTCATTATATGCGTGTTTTATTTATTTAAAAGAATTTGATCCCATTGAATAAAGAAATCACCTTTTTTATTGCATTTTCATCATACTTGAGTGTGATATATGGAAAAAAATTGTAAATTTAACATATTGTAAATTTGTAAATACATAAATATTGAATTTATATACAAATCCTATTAAAGATTGTGTAAGAACTTGTTACTATGTAAAATAAATGAATCTGTAATAATGTAAATGTATTTAATTTTATGATAAATTTAGCAAAGAAATATGTAATAATGTTTATAATATTAAAGAATAATTGTAAATAATAGATAAATTAACGGGTTTCTATTGGGCAAAAGGCAGTTAAGCAGATTACAAAAATACAACTGCACTAGTTCCAACTACAACTATGTTTTGTAATTAATAGTTGGTGACCCACAACTATTATCTTCTAACTTCAATAAAAGTAGTAGATCACAACTATAATAACTTTATCAACAATATAAAATTTAATTAAGATTATATCATTGGAAATAGGAAATAAAATTTCACAAATAAGCATTACTTTGGAAATAATTATTTCAAGAAATATTCCTTTAATTTATTTTTTAAATGAAATATACCAACAGTACTTAGGTCTAATTGACATGTATCACTTCAAAACAAAAACTTATAGTGTTGAATTATACACTGCATAATAATTGCAGTTGTTGCTAAGAAATTGTTGTTGTTGCAGTAGGTATAAAGAGCATTATACGTAAAAAATAGCAAAAGTAATGCCACCTCTTTAAGTTTTTGACAGAATAACAGTCTTTGTTACATTCAACTAGAAAAAGTCTTGCCCTAAATAAAAGTCAATTTTTATTGATATGTAAATATAAGAAAAAAGAAGCAGGTATTATTCAGCTGAACCTTTTGATAGTAGAAATGGTTAGGTTCATGCATGGACAAGAAATAGGATATTTAATCTCAAGTCAACTTATTTTAACTAAAGATAAAAGTATACTATAATTCAGATTCAAAAACAAAAATGTTGAATGGTAGGAAGATGGTGTTAGCTGTTACTCATATCTCATTACTGTCAATCTCCTTCTCAATACAAAGCGTTTCTTTTTTCTTCATTAATATTTTATTATATTATATAATAAAAATACTAACAAGTTAAGTTAATCTAAAAGTAAATAAAAATAGAAGAGATGTGCATCCCCCCCCCAACCCCAGATCACATTGAATATCCCCAAAACTGCTATATTTTCGCACTTTTTTCGACTTTTCACCATTTTATCTATGAAGCAGCAAGTTTTCAACAAAAAACATTCTATACATTTTTAAACTAGATTAAATATGGTACAATTTAAGATAAGAATTGGCCCGGTAAATCAAATAGTTCACAAGATACAGCTTTTCAATGTCTGGAAAATTTTATTTCCCATCTAAATTATTTTTCATCTTTGATTATATGAAATTGTCTTTTATCTTCAATAACTTGTCTGATATGAGTCAGTGAAGTAAATATTTATTCATTTTAATATTTTGAAGGAGGGCTGATGGAGGGAGGGAACTCGTTTTCCTTGTAATTATATATTTTAAAAAAATAGCCAATGTTTCCACGAAAGAAAAGTGGATGCACTTTCCCAAAATGACGTCCAAATATGGCGGATTGACGATTTTGACTGAAGTTAGTTTTTTGGTCACTGAAAACCATCAGTTGACATAATTTTGTCGTAATTGGTCTTTTATTAAAGCTGGATGGTCAATGAATAATAAAATATCAAAAAAATGTTTAAAATAATTGGCGTTGGCAATAAAAATACCAGTAAAGTCAATTTTATCAAGTCGTTAAACTAAAGTTGAAAATTAAGCATCATTAATGTAATTAAACATCCAACAATAACGAAAAACGCCTTGATATAAAACGTTTATATCTAGAGAAAACATTTATTTTTCTAAATCTCTGATTAATTTTTAACATATTCGAAACGGTTCTTTATAAACATGCACTTAATCAGCAGAAAAGCGGCACTGCTGTAAGCGCCTTCAGTCCTGTGCCTCCTCATTCGGTTCTCATAAATGGTATAGTTATAGTGATCCTCTCTTCATCTGTCTACTGCATATTTGTTTCACCAAATAATGTTTCCATCAGTTTCTTATTATATTTTCAAAGATTTTGGATGTTCTCAACGGTAATCGCAGAATTTCTATTTTCTAGAGATTTTTTCTTCTTCCCTTTTATATCTTTTGATGGAGGAAGAAGCACGCTATACCTGATCTTCATCCTAGAACAAGTACTCGAAAAACGATGGGAAGTATCTCAGGACGTCCACGCCCTATTTGTCGATTTCAAGGCAACCTATAATTCAGTGGACCGGAGCTGTCGTTGGAAAATCATGACTGAACAGGGAATTCCGGGTAAGTTGGTGAGATAGACAAAGGCATGTACAAATGACCCTAAATGTGGAGTCCTAATACAAGGAGAAGTAAGTATCTGAAGCCTCCAAAATTAGAACGGGCTTATGGCAGGAATATGGCCAATCACCGATGTTGTTCAACTTATCTCTGGAGAAGGTAATAAGAGCAACATTACAGGAAAATGGAGGGGTCCACGTCGGAATGAATCATAAAATCCTAGGATACGTAGATGATATAGCTGTCCTTGGAAGTAATCAAGAAGGCATTGAGAAACTCGCTACAACACTGATAAGAGAGACAAAGCAGATCGGTCTACAAGTAAATGAAGACAAAACACAATATACGATAGTAAGCCGAAAATTCCACCACAATAACAGGATCTGCGTAGAAGGGAAATCATTAACGAGAGTAGAAAAATTCAAATGCCTCGGTTCTACAATAACCTCAATGAATGACCAACGGGCAGAAATAGACCAGCGTATACAGAGCTTCCTTCTCTCTCTCTCTCAAAGGTATTGAAATCCCGAAAAATCTCAAGCTAAGGATGTACAATGCTATGATAAAGCCAGTTCTAATATAAGGCTGAGAGACCTGGAGACTAATCAGCACCCTAGAGAAAAGTTTTGAAAGATTAGAGAGGAAAATCCTCAGCATGATAACCTAAGCGATCTGGGATCAGAGTACTAACACATAGAGAAGAAAGACCAATAAAGAACTGCTTATAGAAACTGGTCAATCAATATCTCATTATATGAAGGCACGGAGGTTAAGATGGGCGGGGCATGTAACTCGTAGCAATCCATCTGGAAGCCTCTACGTAAGAATGAATGCCTCAATAGAAGGTAAAAGACTACGTGGTAGGTCAAAAAGCAGATCGATAGATATAATGTGCAACAGAACTGCGTGCAGATAAATGGAAAGAAATAGCCCAAGACATGGAGAATGGACAATGGAGCAAGATTGTAAGGCGGAAAAAGATCTATATGGTCTGTAATGTCCCCATATCTAACACTGGTCTCTGAAATTAAATTTCTGAGTCGAGGAGAGTTTTGAAAGGTGCGGTAAGCGCTTTTTTTTTTTGCCTGCTGGTTTACTAGGAAGAAGATCGAACGCAATAAATGACTCAGATCATTCTAGCTTATTTATTTTATCAATTAGCTTATAATATTAGATTCACATAATTCAACAGAGGGTTTCTATCCCATATTCTTTATAGCCATTCCTATATCTATGTAACCTACTCCTTCAAAAGAATAAATTCAATAAATGTTTAATTCACTAACGCTTAGAAGGCAGATTATTGAAGACATAATCATGAAAATCAGCTAAACATTTTCAAGTTTCGAAAATTTAACTCGAAATTTTATTTACAATTTTTGAATGCACTTGATGTAAATGTTTGTTAAATTTTTTTTTCTATTTCAGTTTTCTGGTTGCGAAAAGTGATCTCCCCCACTCCCACCAAACTTCCCCTCTCCCTCAAACATTTTCTTCATTGAATCATATAAGATAGGCTACTGAAGAGATCAAAATTATTGTATATGATCAAACATGAAAAATAGCTTAACATTTTCAAGTTCGAAACATTTCCAAAATTTTGAAAACCTGCATCTCAAAAATTATTAAACTTGCCGAACCTGTTTTGGTCTTAAATTGTAGCATATTTAATTTAATTTAAAAATTATTGAATGTTTTTTGTCGAAAACGTGCTCGTTCATGGTCAAAATGACTAAAAAAAAAAAGTGAGAATATAGCAGTTTTGAGGATTTTCAAAAGTGATCCGGACGAGGTTGAAAACTTGGATTTTGCATCTTAGTCACATCGTGTAAAAAACAGAAACCTACCCGATTAGATGAAACGGTTAATTATTTCAAATAAACAAAGGTATAGGTATAGTAAAGGTATTTTGGAGGAAGAAATTTTGAAAATTTGGCATTAAGTCCTGTTACAGAACATAAATGAGAATACGAACTATCTCATATTAAAAACCACTTAATTATAAATTATCATATGGAGTTTTATCAAAATCGTATAAACAAGATAAATCGATGATACAAAGTGCCACTTCCGGTTAGTCGATTTTGACAAAAAAGTTGTTGTACATGCCCATCGGTCGTTAATATGACATTCTCCTTAAATGTGTAAACCAGTATGTATCCACATGCAACTTGTGATTTATCGGCTGTAGTAGAGGCCATGTCCTGACAATGGAAGGAACGTTTTGGGCGGAATGAATTCCATCACTGGGACGGTTCGGAACGGAACGAGACCCTAGGAAATTTCGTTGAGCTGGAGTGTAATCTAATAATATAAATGCCTTTACTTTTCGACGTGTAAATGATCGACAGAAAAGTCAAATAGGCGCAAAAGGGATTGGTAGCAATTAAGGTTAGTGCGCAGATTGTCGACGAAGTTGATTAACGGAATAGTCGAATAGGTTGTTTGCTTCAAAAGTGAACCATAACGACTAAATTTAATTTAGTGTTTTATTATATATAAAGAAATATAATTAAATAAAATATAATAAGATTCTAACCATGATTTTAAGATAGAAATTTGCAAATTTTAAAAATATTAATTATATTGCCAAGATTCACTAAACTATAATAATAAACTAATTGTAAATAAATATTTTAATCAAATTTTATTATTATTAAGACCAATGATAAATATGCGGTTCTGTTGTGCAAATGTAATTTGCCATAGACGATTTTATATCATTGGTTAATTTGGATTTATAAAACCTAAGATTTCGCATTTTATTTTATTTTACTTTTTTTAGTTACCAATAAAAGTCATGAGAGATATCAATATTGTTTAAACATTTCAAAAGTTAAAAAAATATCCATTTTTATTAAAGTTTGGCTTTTTTTATTATTATTTTATTTGTTAGTTATATAACGGCGGAATGAAGAAGAAACAGTCTTGTTAGTCATAATAAAAATTTCTCGAACAGGTTCGATGAAACCATTCCACTCACCTCCACCTCTTCACAGTCTTTCTCGTTCCGAGTGGCCTTGAATTCCACCCTGGGACGGTCTTACTCGTTCTAATCGGAACGGTGTTTCTCGTTCCGAGGAGCTTTGGATTCTCGTTCCACCAGAATATGAACGCTTTTACCTTCCATTACGTTACGTTTTCGTTCCAATCTGAGATTTCATTCTAGCATCCGTTTAGAATGATTATGACACGGGTTAAAGTGTCTACATCTGTTGTTATTTTTAGTTTAAATTAGTAACTCTTAAGTTAA